TCGGCATACCGGGCGCACAACTCGGCGATCTGCTCTCGAGTATCCTCGTTGCGGCTAGCTGAGACCTTTGGGTGGGCGCCTCGAGACACCATCTCCACCATCCGGTCACACCAGCCCAGGTATTTCTGGTAGTGGGGTAGGAGGCCATCGCGCTCGGTGGCAGGAATGGCGGCGGCGGCCTCGCGAAGATACCAGTAGGAGATGCGGTCCACATCCTGATACATTTGGACTTCAACGTCGGTGAGCGTCTCGCCCTCAGCGGCGAGAAGGCCATCGGGGGTGGCGAGTCCATACTGGAATTGGGAGAACATCGGAAGGTCGTCGCGCGAGGTGGCTGGCGAGAATGGGACAAGAGTTGCACCCTCCACCTGCACGACTACGGCAGGCGCAGATCCCTCGACGTTGTGGCGCAACGTCAGTTCCCCTACGATCTGAGTGGGCTCCTTTTTGGTGATACTCGCCTCGAACTCCAGTCGCTCGGGCCGTCCACCGGCTCCCGCTTGGGTGAAATACGGGTTGATGGTGACCGCGCCGATGGATACCGGGACGTGCAGCGACCAGAGTTGCGTATCTCCGGGGTACGACCATGCAGCAAAAATGCTCTGCAGGGCTGAGTCCAGGGTGCCAGGGTGGACAAGGAGGTCATCTTCCCAGCCCGAACCGGCGTGGTCCGTCAAAGTGCCAGTGCTGTATCCGGGCTTCCGGCAAATGTCGCTCAGCCCCCGGAAGTGTCCGCTGTAGCCGTATCCGACGCGGGAGAGATTCGCGTAAAAGTGTTCCTCTGTGATCGGGACGAGCTGGTAGGTATTTTTGGCTGCACCCGAGTCAAGGGTATCGGCAGCCTGAGCACAGAGCTCTCCTTCTACTCGGCCCTGGGCGTTCAACACCAGAGTACTGCCGTTCGTCACTGAGTAGCAGGCCCACCGTGCGGTGACGTTTGTCGCGGACCGCTCGATGGCCGAGAGGCTGAAGATGACCTCGACGCTGGAATCGTCATCGTCCAGGGTGACAGCACGGGGGATCTGGACGTCGCGCACGCTGATCACTCCAAGGGTGCTGTCGCCACCAGTACTCTCCTGTGCCAGTCGGGAAAGCGCCTCGACGGCCATGCTGACGTATCCCATGGCCGGGAAGACGGTCTGGCCCTGCAGCTGATGGCCGTTGAGCCAGGGCAGGTCGCGGGGCTGCAGGAAGTTGCGCCACTGCACCTCACCCGGAGTCAAGGCTTCCGTGATGGGCGTACCCAGCAGAGGGTTGGGCTTGTGGGTCGGTTGCCGATGCTTGAAATGGTTGGCCACCCGACTGTCTGTCCAGTGTGCCTTGGAGTGGTCAAAGGGATACGACGGGAGATCGTCGATGACGACCGGACTGCGGCCGCTGCCAGAAAGGAGCGACTCGACGGCTGCGAGCTTAGTGTTACCGGTACCCAGCTGCGTCCATACAGCGCCAAGAGCGGTGTTGAGCTGTACAACGTCGTCCTGGCCTCGCGCCAACAGACCCGTGTAGGGCGTAGTGGCAATCGTGGCCGTGGCGGGTCCCTTGAGCGCTGGGTGTGGGCCAACCTCGATGGCCAGGTCGAATTGTCCCGTTGCGTCCTGGGCCTCGCTGAGCGCACCAGCAAAGAGAACGGCTTTGCACATGTTGTCCACCCAGTACTGGTTCGTCAGATTCGTAGAGTTCATGGGTTGGCCCTCGAAAACACTGGAATACCAGACTGTCGAACTGTTCGGAGTTGCAGTGGCCTGAACTCCGCATCCATCCAGGGAAGCCAGATAGGGTCCAGCACATGCGGCCATGTGAGCGCTGTGGTAGGCAGTGTCCACTTTCAGCTTGCGAGCAAATGTGCCTTGAGCCTTGAGCAGAGCCTCAGCCTCCTCGACTGCATCAACATCACCACTCAATGTGACACTAGAGGGCGAGTTGACAGCAGCAAGCTGCAGACGACCATAGAATTGAGGGGTAGAGCAGAGTGCTTGGGCGGTCTCCTTGTCTGCGCCGACAGCCATCATACCTCCGCGGGGCGCATGGAGGTTGGGACTGGCAGCGCGCTTGGCATGCACACCACGATAGTAGGCAATCCGGATGGCGTCGACGTCAGACAGGAGCCCGGCGGCATAGGCGGCGCCAATCTCGCCAGAGGAGTGACCCACAACAGCCGCAAAGGTGATACCCGCGGCGCGCAGGATGTCTACCAGCAGGATTTGGACGGCCGTGCACAGCGGCTGAGAGAGAGCCGCCTCTGCGATCCGCGAAGTCTCCGCGCTGGCCAGGAGCTGGTCAGCCAGAGTCCACGTGGGACGGTCTGCTGGGTCGGGAAGGCTCTGCAGTGCGCGATCGAGCAGGGCGAGACGTTCAGCGGCGAAGTGTGAGGTTTCGAGCAGCCGCGCGCCCATTCTGGGCCATTGCGCTCCCTGTCCGGTGAAGATGCCAAGAATTCTGGGGGCGGCCGGTGAACTGAAGCGCGGACTCAGAGCCGTGTCTGTGCTTGAGACAAGCTCTTCCAAGGCGCTGATTGCGTCGTCGAGTGTCGTTGCTGACACCGCTTTCCGGTAAGGCAGCGTCGATCGTCGGACTTGCAGCGTGTAGGCGACATCAGCCAAGGAGATGTCAGGGTTCGTCTTGAGGAACTCGAGGTGTTGTGCCAGCATCTCGCGCAGAGGCTTCTCTGCAGCGGCTGAGAACACCAGCGGGGTGTAGAGCTGACCATCACCCTCGGATCCTTCCGTCCTGTCTGGGGCGATGTACTCTTCCAGAATGCAGTGGGCATTCGTACCGCCGAAGCCGAAACTATTGACGCTCGCTCTTCGTACCTGGCCCTCCGCGACAATCCACGGCTTTTGCGCAGTCAGAATCTCAAGGTGCTTGAAGTATGGCGCGACCTTGGGGCTGAGGTCTTGGAAGTGCAAGTTCGGCGGCATGGTGTGGTTCTTCAGGGCCAATGCTGTGCCAATCAGACTGGCGAGACCCGCCGTGCCCTCTGTGTGACCGATGACCGTCTTGATGGATCCCACCACCAGTTTCTCCTCGGTAGAGACGACCCCGGTTGGGAAGAGGGCGTTCGAGATCGCCTCAGCCTCCTGCGGATCGCCCGCCTGCGTGCCCGTGCCGTGGGCATGGAAGAACTGCGGCCGATCGTTGATGTTGTGGATGGGGTCCAGGCCCGCGCGCGCATAGCATTCGCGGATCAAGGCTGCCTGCGCGATATTGCTGGGCACGGTCAGACCGGCGGTGCGGCCGTCTTGGTTGACGGCGGTCTCGCGGATAATGCACTGAATGGGGTCGTTGTCCGCCAGCGCCTGCGACAGGGTCTTCACCAACACGGCCGCAACACCTTCGCCGCGCGCGTACCCGTCGGCGGCGACATCCCACATGGCGCAGCGACCGTTGGGAGAAAGCATCCCCAAATTACTTTCGGAGATGTACATTGCTGGTTACGACGGTTGTCTGGGTCAGCGACATTCTACATTTGTGGGTGAAATCCCTTTCAGTGAGTGACCAGAACCTCTTACCTGGACTGAGGATCAAATTCGTGCCCGCCGCCACGGCAACCTTGGACTTCCCACTGCGCAGGGCCTGCACCGCCAGATCGAGGGCGACCAGACTGCTCGAGCAGGCCGTGTCGATGGTCATGCTGGGACCATGCCACCCGAAGAAGTAGGACAGGCGGTTGGCGACGATGCCGCGCTCCAGGCCCGTGGCCGTGTAGCGCGGCAGGGTCTCCCAGTCGTGCGTTAGCATCGTACTCCAGTCATCCGACATCAGCCCCACGTATACGGCGGTATCCGACCCACGCAGGTCCTCCATGGGCTGGCCGGCCGCGCACAGCCCGTCGTAGACGGCCTCCATCAGCAACCGCTGCTGCGGGTCCATGGCGTCAGCCTCGGCGGCCTGGATATTGAAGAAGCCGGCATCGAACTGGGCGACGGGGCTGCTGCCTGCACTCGGGTCTTCCGACTCAGCCAGCCAGTAGGACTTGGGGGCGTTGGTGGTGCCGTGGTGGGTACCGACGGGGTGGTAGAACAGGTCGACGTCGAATCTGGAGGCCGGGGGTTTGCTGCTCAGGTCGGTGGGGTCGCGCAGAAGAGACCAGAGCTTCGAGGGCGTGTCGGCTCCCCCCGGGAAGCGGAAGCCGTATCCGATTACTGCGATGGGTTCGACCATTGTGTCTATGTCTATGGGGGTATCGTGTCTATTGCGTTGGTATCGTGTTGGACCCAGCGGGAAAGGTGGAAATGTCTGAAGAATGTTAAGTTGAGTATACTGGTCTGGGACAGGGAGAAGTTGATTCTGATTGCTGTGTAACCGCTCGACCTGATGGGGTCTACATATATCCTTGTGGTGGAAGCATTAGACCGATTCACTCGGGACACGCATGAGGATGATCCGTTGTGTTTCCTGCTTATCCCATCCTGTTGCCTTGTCGCATGCGAAGATTTGCGAGCACGGACAGGAGGGCAGATCGGAGAGATGCAATGCACGACAAATCCGAGGCGGAGAAATGGAGCAGGCAGTCTATGCCGGATGGGGGAAAGATGAATCAAGGGTGTGGTGGCAGTGGTGGCGCACTGCAGGATGCCCCGAACCCAATTTCTACCACCCTCGGAAGAGCCCTAGCCATGGCTGTAGTCGTTCGGAGGAATGGGTTTCGGGGCGTGTTTGGGGTTTTGGGTCTTGCGTGCCGAATGGGGCCCCGGGGGTTATCGTTGTGGGATGCACGTTGATTATGCTTGCTTTTGTTGCTTGCGATGTGTCTACTTCCTGCATTCCATTTGTACGGGTTATGTTTGCCACATGGTGATCGATGATTCTGGGACATCTTGTACGGTTCATGGCGCTCATGGGCTTGTAAGGGGGGTTGTTGGAGAGGGCTTTCTGGTCTATTGTTCGGATTATGTGTTGGATGTGATTGATAGTGATTGAACTGTGATGGTCTGAGGTATACAGCATAGCAGGACTGATGGATGTAGACAGATACTGCCTTTTTGATTTCCTCAATATCTTGGGAGTCATATCGTTTCGTTACCATAGAGATTTATTCCACAGGGAAGGGCTACCAGCTCAACCCCTACACATGCAGAAATTCAACCACAAAGCAGAACTGAAATTGCAAACATCATACTTCACTCAACCTATATCTCAGTAACCCCATCCCTAACCCGAAATATCAAGCAAAACCCAGCTTATACCCCAGAACCACCCACAAGTATGCGACCCCGGTCTTGAGCACCGTCCACCACAGCCCCAGCCCCATGAACCCAATCAACCGATTCAGCAGAATCAACCGCTCGGCATAGAACCGGGCCTCGCGGTCCCGCTCGCGCTGGGAGATCTCCCCGCGCCACACGCGGTCCATCTGCAGGGCATGCTGGGCGGCCTGCTCCGAGGCCTTGCCAAGATGGGAGCGGAAACCCGTGAAGGCATCGCCCACGAGCACGAGCCGGTCGTCGAAGAAGCTGGCCGTGGAGCACTGGGCCTCGCCGACCTTGGTCACGAACACGCGGGGAGTGAGCGAGACCACCTCGGCGAGCGGGGCGGTCATCTTGGGCAGGTGGGCGGCCAGCTGCGCGCGCCAGACCTCCGGGTCGACCAGCCCCTGCGGCACGGTGTTGGGGTGGACCTTGCCGTGGATGTCGGTGAAGATCTTGGCCATCTCGGGGGACCCTTCCGGTAGGAAGTAGTACCAGACCCAGTTGAGGAGGCGTTTGCCGGGTTCGACGTGGCCCTGTTCGGTGGGGATGAAGTAGCTTTTTACCCACGGTTAGCATTCACACCGTCTCTTCCTTCCTTCCCCCTTCGGTTCACCCGGAGTCCGTTTGCCCAAGGGAAAGGAAAGGAACCAACGAACCTAATGAAATACGTCCCGCGCAACAGCGTAAAATTCAGGCGATTCTCAAAGTACTCCACCGTGCCGGCCGACAGCAACTTCTCCGGCACCGTGCCGCGCCACCCGATGTAGCCGGCGTACTCCTTGCGCGTGGGCACCTGCAGCAGCCGGCGCACCGTCGAATGCACCCCGTCCGCCGCGAGCACCATCCCCGCGCGCGCCGTCTCCGTCGCCCCTGTCGTGACGTCCACGTACTCCACCTCCACCAGCCCTTTGCCCCCGTCGGCGGCCCGATCGTACCGGACGCCCGTCACCTGCTTGCCCGGCCGGTAGTCCACGGTCCCGTCGCCGGGCTTGGGCCCCGGCGGGTGCGGCACGGCGGCGGACGCCAGCCCGTCGAAGTTGGCCCGCAGGATCAGGTACAGACAGCCCCAGTTGCTCATGTGGTGGTGCCAGCGCGTGTTGGCGACGCGCAGGTGCTTGCGGCGCCACGCCGCGCTCAGGTACTCCGTCGGGATGGCCGCCGGCCGCCCCGTCGCGTCGTACTTGTCCAGCAGCGCGACGACGCTGGGGCCAATCGACACGCCGGACTCGTGGCTGTGTCGGTCCTTGGACGGGTCTTGTTCCAGCACGATTACGTTGCTGCCTTGCCGTTTGAGTTGGAGGCCTTGCAGCAGGCCTGCGACGGAGCCGCCGATCTGTTTACTGGATGTTAGTGGGGTTGGGTAGGGTAAGGTAAGGGGCTGGGGGTGGAGGTGGAGGGAGTCGGGGGTCGCACGATGATCACGGACTCGGGGACCATTGTTTCTGTCTTGGTGTGTGTCTGGATAGGGGGGAACTGGTGGTGACGAGAAGTGGACAAGGGAATCTGTCGCTCAAGTATGGAATATGGGTAGGTTCACTTAGGGCAGTTGGATCAGCAGGCAGAAAAAAAGGCGAACAAACGACCAGGAGAAATCAATGCAAACGCGCGCAGTATTATGAAGAATGAACGCACGGGTATCGGTATCAACTCCCAACACGCCGTGAGCCTGGTCAGCATCCCAGCACTTCCTTCATGCATGCACCCGCATGGTTTCTCCCACATGGTCGGAGAAAAGAACCCCATTCAAGCCGAAGGGTTGCATGACCGTCGGCGAGTCCTCGATTCCCCCGATGTCGACACCTGGGGCACGCAATCAATACCCCTTCGGGCGTAGGGCGGGTCGGGATTTCCGAATGTCCCGTTTAGGGTCAGCGGGAGGGAGCCCTATCTGACTGGGTGAGTGGAGCCTTGCAGGATTACTAGGGCAGCCTTCGTTTTGCCCATGTCTGACGAATGCACAAACAGTTCACATGGGTGGTCTGTGAAGATGACTGCGCTGCAGCAATGCTCTATCCGGGGCAGGGTCAGGGCGGCCGTTCTCCGTAATCAAGCTTATGGCAGGAGTTGCTTACGTATCGGAAGCTCACAATCTATGTATCTATGGCCTTAACATTGTTCTAAGAAGGATCGCAAACAACCGAGGACTATCGCGGATATCAATACATATTCAGCAGCTCTCGCAGCAAATGCTCTACCTCGTCTATCTTGCTTCGCAGGTGGCTTCCCTGCTTTCTCATCGTCTGGTACAAGTGCTCGTTCGTCAACCCCATGATCGCGCCCTGCGGGGAGACACCCGCCCCGTCCTCCTCCTCCACATGCACCATCGATCGCTCTGTCCCAGATTCCCGAGTGACACCTTTGTGCTTGGCAAGGATACTCACACCATCGGGCAGCTCCAGAGCCGCCTCCGTCTCCTCCAGCGACCCCAGCAAGATGGCCACCGCTTTGCGCGCCCGCGTCGCCGTCTCCCGCACCGGGGTGTCAACACACCCACACGTGGGCTGGAGCTCCCCCAGCCGCAGGCCAAGGTACATGTCCGCGTCTTCCAGAAAGGGGTCCAGCGACGGCTGTCGCGTGGGATGCGAGGAGCAGTGCATGGCCGAGAGTTGGGACAGCTGATCGTAGAGGTCGGTGAAAATCGCGGTATAAATGCGGGTCAGAACCAGATAGCAGGAGAGAGTGAGGAGCTTGGTAGGAATGTCAAATGCACTGGTCGAGGGTAACGGTTCTGTGGCCGACGCTGCGAATCGGTTCGCCTCGTCTTCCGCCTCGCCCCCCTCCGTCCCCCTGTGGGCGGAGACCACTTTGTAGAAGCCGCGCGAGAGGAACAGTGCATCGCCGATGGGATAGTTGTCAAGCGCATCACCACCCCCATGCTTCTGGTATTCCTGCGACACGGACGCTGACGAGGCGCGAGAGCTTTGAGAAATCTGAGCTTCGTAGTGCGACATCTTGGCCAGGAGTCCGGTCAGGGTGGTGAAGTAGTCCTCCGCGGGAGAGGGCCCCGCCGTCGTCGCAGCTGCCATGTTTTTCGTTGCTGCTGTTGCTGTAGTTGTCGTTGTCGTCGGCATTGCTCTTCCTCCTTCCATCGAGTCATTGATCAGCGCATCCCCCTGTGCGAAAGACAGCAGAACCTTGTCCCAGTCGGTGTACATCGACAATCCCGCCATGTACTCGTCCGCAGCGCTCGCGGTGGGAGCTTCCAACCCAACGTCCAGACCCGACAAATGATGCGCCGAGAAGTGCTCGGTGCTCATCAACAAGTCCGGTGGGTCGATCAATGCGGCCGAAGTCTCGTCGCCCCATGGAAACGAATCCACGATCATCGCGTCGGTGTCCGCGAAGAGGCTGCCGTCTTTCTTCTCCGTCGCTCCAAGGGGCAGGACGGGACACTCCAAGGGCGAAGGCAGCGATGACAAGGATGACGAGCACGAGGAGGAGGAGGGCGCAGAAGAAGATGAAGAAGATGGAGGGAGCACAAAGGTGCCCATCCCCGGTAGTGGGGGCTGGGTCAAGCCCTCCCGTTCCGTGCGCGTCAACTTGCGCGAGTGCGAGTGGACCTGCGACTGCGACTGCGATTGCGACTGCGCTTCGGGCGTGTCCTCGTCTCCTCCCCGCAGTTTGTTGCGACCCGTCTTCAATCGTCGACTGTAGGTGCAGGACCGGGGGATCTTCGCCTTCGCGCAGCGTTGACAGGGCCCGGTGGGGTCGCCCGCGATCGAGGGCACGCAGCGCAGCTTGTGGGCGCGGCAGCGCTCACAGGAGGCGCGGAGGCTGGGATTGCTGTCGCTCATGGTGGTAATTGGAGACAGTGACAGTCGTTGAAAACGCGGTGTGGAAATACGTGGCAACAGAGGTATACGAAGAGGATGGGACTTGCAATGGCTGTTGTTGAGCGTTGTCTGATTGCGTAGAGGGGGAAATTAAAGTGGGCGGCGGGGAGGGATTTCTATGGGGCGGGCGGGGATGCTGGGAAGGGGGGGGGGGGGCGTTGAAGTGCTTCCGGAGGAATTGGTAGAGTCTTTCTCCGCCCACATGGACTGCTCTTACTACAGCCTCCTCCTATCACCTTCCTGATACGCACGTTTAGTTATCTTCGTGTTCTGTTGTTTGCGCCGTATTGGCTGTCAGCCATCCCGGTACCGGGATGGATTTGAGCCAGGATCATGCTCCCTGGTTCGGGCATTCCTGCCCTAACCCTCAAGAAGGCTAGAGTGAGGGGAGAGGGTGATGAGACAGAGACATGTCGCTCGCTTATCATGCATATACGTCGTTATATCCGTTTCAAATTGTCCTCGCAGTGGGCGTGGGCAGTAGGCAGTGGCGAGCGAGGCGGTGGTGATGGTGTTGACTGCTGATAGAACAGCCAAGTAATATATAGAGTATAAGCACTAGCCATCTGAATCCGACTCCGGTGGTGAATTAGTAGCGAGCCACCCAACCATGCGTAAAAGCTTTACTGCCAATCCGGACCAGGCACTAAGATTACCCCTCACCAGCGAACGATCTAGATTCGTCATGTCAATACTGCAGACAGACGTCTCACTCTTCAGCCCCAGGTTATATGAACAATAAGCCTATATACTTGGGGGGAATAGCCGCTCTGGACCCGATAAGTTAACCAGATCAGGTTTGGTGTGAAGAAACCCATTGCGGGTGGCGATAGGCTTGATGAGCCAAGATAGGGAGGGAGCTACGGGGAAATGCCCGGTTGGAGACAAAGCATAGATTACCAATTTAATCACCACCTACTACGGAGTAGTTAGTCAAGTGCTTATCACTAATCACTTGGGGTAGGAGATGGAGGGGGCATCCTCAGTACTAGAGAGGCTCTGCATGAGACAGATAATCGGAAGAAGAGGGGGGAACTCTCTCCTACCTAGGTTACTGACACTTTCTGGCCGAGTAATTGAGTGCTTGGGCAATTGGACGGTTGGACGATTGGGTCTAATTGCGTCGTAATCGCGAGAAGTTGACAGGTTGATTACTTAGTACAGTACTTAGTGCTTGGTGGTGGTGACGCGGAAATACCCGCTGGCCCGTATCACCCGCAGCCAAGGAATGAGAGTCTGATTAGGTCTTACCTCCTCAGCATTGCACTTTCCACTCTGGGAATTGAAGTGTTGGATAGTACTAGTCATAAGGCATACGTAATGTAACCTCACTTCGTTACTCATAGTTATCCTACCTTACTAAGAGCCGATCAGGGAGCATCAAAAGTGGGCTGCCGTCTTGGCGTGAAGCCACGCCCCGTATTTGTAAAACAGCACGGGCGCAGGAAGGAAGGCCAGCGCCAGAAACCCCAGCAAAGTGTTGCCCCACCCATACCCCAGCGACTGGTACATCGCCGGCCCGGCCAACGGCAAAAAAGTACTGCAGATGAACCGTAACACGTTGTTGGCCGCCAACGCTGACGCTGACGCTGCCGATCCGAACAAGTCCACCAGATACAGCTGCGCAGGCATCTAAATGGAAAACAAGGCACAGAAAAACAAGAGTAAGCAATGGGTCACTAGGCGGAAGTAATGATCAGTCTCAAAGAGAGAGAAGGGGGGCTTGCTTACCATGACAAAGAAGGACCCAAACCCTATCACAGTAGTACCGATGATGGGCACGATCCAGTGCACCTTGTAGTAAGCCGTCCAGCCATAGATGAAGAGACCGATCGCCACGCAGGGGCAGAAGTAGATCATCAGCAGAAGACGATACTCGGGTCGATGCTGTGTGACGCCATCCTTCTTCATGCGCGCGGCCGTCACCCGGTCTCCCAGGGGTTTGGCAATAAACATACAACCGACCAACGACACGCCCAGTCCCAGATAGACCAGCCCGGAGGTGGCGGTAGTGAATCCGTACTGCTTCTCAAACACATCCGTGAACGTGGTAAAGAGAAGATACATGAGTCCAAAGATGAGAGCCATGTAGATCGAGATCACCAACAAGATGGGGGATCGGAATAGAAGCTTGGTGGGCCGTACGAGGGCCTGTAGCAGGACTTGCTGCGGCGGTCGGTGGTCCGCCATCTTGGATCGTAGATGCAAGTTCCCGGTCGCCACGCGAAGACGGGCGGCCTTACGCTCTAGCAGGACCTTGGGATGAGTCTCTCGCATCACCACCAAGGCGGCAATCCCAACCGCACCCCCGAAGATGGCGAGGAGCCAAAAGGTCCAACGCCATCCGAGACCCGCGGCAACAAAGCCCCCGATGAGAGGGCCAAGTACCTAGTAGTCACCGAAGAACATGTGTGGTCAGCAACCTTCGCTTGTCATTCGTACCGAGTAGAGGGAGAAAGCGAGGGTCAATCCTACCGGTCCAGCCATAGGGCCCAAACTGTACAACGACATGGCGAGGGCGCGTTGCTGAATCACCGTCACATCGGCAATTGTCCCACCTCCCAAAGCCATTGGAGTCCCTCCTGCACAGCCGGAGATGAAACGACAAATCATAAAAGTGGCGAGGTTTTGACTCAGGGCGTTTCCGATCACGAACGCCACGAAAAATAGATTGGCGACATGATACACGGGTAAGCGGCCAAACACCTCGCTGAGGGAGGACATGAACATCGGGCCCATGGCCAAGCCCAGAACATAGAGGGTGACGGCCAGAGTAGCCACGGTAGAGGAGTGATTATCGAAGGTATCGAGGACTTTGTTGATACCGGGGGCACACATGGTTGGGCCCATGTTCCTAAGATGGTAAGTGGTTAGATGGATGGATGGATGGATGGATGGATGAATGAGGGTTAATTCTGCCTGGGGCCGGAAGGATTGCGCCCTACATGACCAAAGAAATCAAGGCCACCACGATGACATGGGCCCATCGCTTGCCACTGGACCAGTTGTGTGGGTTTTGTTGATCCTCAGGCCCATCCCAATCGACAATCTCGTCATTGGTGGTTGGTTTGTCTTCCACCAGACTCGTCTCGAGAGAGGCTGCGCTGACGGCCGTCTCGGTATCTTCTTGTTTAGCCGCCATATCTGACTGTGTCTGGTCAATCTGACTGCTGTTGCAATACTTGGGGATGGATTCGAATTAGTTTGGGTTAAGGTAATGTGTGTACGTACTTCGGTGGTGAAAGTTTTTAAAGGTGAGAAGCTCCATCACACCACCGGAGTCCGCGTTAGCTACTCCGTACATTGAAAAACACCAGACTAGAGGAGGGGGAGAGGAGGGGGGGGATAGACAGGGAAGCTACCTCCGATTGAAAGTGTTCGGATCGTATATGCGGGCTTTCCTCCGATTAGGGCCGATTGCCCCCGCCGATCCCGTATATACGGTGACTGGCCTCAGGCAGAGGTCTTAGCACTAGTACTAGGCCACTACTCAGTTAGTCTCCGTGCTTAAGGCATCCACTGCTGCTGACTCCGCCTCACTCAAAGAACCTCCACACCACCACCACCAACACCAACACTCACTATGAACTACCCAACATCCACCCCTCCTGCATCCATCTTTCATCCTTCTATCCTCCGTTGATCCCTATCTCTTATTGATGAATTTAACAACATGTCCTCATCCAATGTCTCCATGTCGCAGGACCCGCTTACCTCATCCGCCGCAATCCCTCCCGCCAAGCCCCGTCGCCGGCGTGACAAACCCCAATTCTCCTGCAACGCGTGTCGTCAACGAAAGTCTCGATGCGATCGGCAACAGCCCACATGCTCCAGCTGTCTCTCGCGGGGTCAGACGTGCGTCTACCTGACGCCTAGGCCCGGAGCATCGTCCTCGTCGGCCCCGTCCAGCGGGACCGCCGGAGTCCATGACCGGCTCGTGCACCTGGAGCGTCTCGTTAAGTCGCTGATGGCCGATGGGGTGGTATCTCACCACCATCACCACCATAAGCCCCCGCAGCCACTGGCCACGCCCGATTCCAGTTCCAGTGGCGGTATTCGACAAGAGTCGGCCAGCGGCCTCGATACGCAGTCGGACTGCGGAAGCATGCAGATCACCAGTTTGGAGCTGCGGTATGTGGCCGGCGAACACTGGGCGGCCATCCTGGACAGTATCGCCGACCTGAAAGCCCACTGTGACCGCGAGGAGCAGATCTCCCTGGCCGAGACGCCCACTCACCTCAGTGAGGAGGAACCACCCCACTTCCGCCATGCTTTGTTGCTGTATGGATGTCACCGGGCCACCTCGCGCGCGGAGATTATCGCGGCTCTGCCGCCCAAGGCCGCCGTCGACCGCTACATTTCCCGCTATTTCAACTATCTCGACCTAGTCGCATCCGGTGAGTGAGGTACTTCCCTGTTCAACCCTCTTCGCTATTCTCCGACCGTCTCGAGAGGGAGGTGGGCTGATTTCTGGATGGTGTACTAGCTGCGGTACATGGGCCCAGCTTTCTGCGAGAGGCAAGTTGGCATATTCTCGGGTTGTCAGTGCACCCATGCTGACTACGATCACATAGTATGAGGCATTCTGGACCGATTCCAGCCGGGTGTCGATCGTATGGGTTGGCCTTCTCTTCAGCATGGTGTGTCTGGCGGTGATGGCTTCGGATACGACCGACGGGCCCGAAGCGGAGCAGAAGTCCCTCCAGATTGACCTCTACCGCGAGAAGATCGTGCAGTGCCTGGTCCTGGGCGAGTATACGAAGCCCGGGCAATATGTGCTGGAGACCGTCGTGCACTATCTCTACATTGAGTTTGGCATCAACCCGGATGCGGATCGCAACATCTGGTTTTTGCTAGGACTGGAAGTCAACCTGGCGATGCGAATGGGCTACCACCGCGACCCCAGCCACTTCCCGGGCATCTCGCCGCTGCAAGGGGAGATGCGACGACGACTCTGGGCCACCGTGTTGACGAGCGACATTCTCCTCTCCAGCCAGATGGGGATGCCACGGATGATCTGTGACTGGAAGTGCGATACGGCCGAGCCGCGCAACCTCTACGACATGGACCTGGACCAGGAGCTGACCCAGCTGCCACCGGCCCGCCCCGAGACGGAACACACCACGGCGCTGGGGATCATCGCCCGTCGCCGCATGATCATCGCGCTGGGCGCGATCGCCGATCTCGCGGACGCGGTCAAACCGGTCAGCTACGCGGAGATCATGCAAGCGGATAAAGCGCTGCACGAGGCGGTCGCCAGCATCCCCCCGCCGCTCCGCATCAAGCCGCTGGCGGCGAGCGTGACGGATTCGCCGCAGGTGATCATGTCGCGGCTCTTCCTGGGCCACCTTTTGTACAAGGGGCAGATCATGCTGCACCGACGGTTCCTGGAGCTGCATGTTGCGGCCACGGCGTCAGCGACAGCGACTGGTGCGGGGGATGGCGCTGGCGCTGGCGAGAATGCTAGCGAGCAAGCCAGTGGTGAAGCGCCCTTCGCGTACTCGCGCACCGCCTGTATCGACGCATCGCTGGGGACGTTGCACATCCAGCACGTACTCGACGAGGAGACCTGCCCGGGCGGCCAGCTCCACGAGATGCGGTGGCGCATCACCTCCAGCATGAACCACCTCTTTCTAACGGCGACGATGATCCTCTGCTCGCTGCTGCACCGGGCGCAGCCGCTGGGCGAGCGCACGGAAGAAGTCCTGGCCGCCCTGCGGCGGGCCCGCACCATCTGGATGCGACGCAGTACCTCGTCCCGGGAGGCGAAGCGCGCGACGGAGATCGTCAGCCTTACCCTTGCGCGCGCCGGGGACGGGAACCGGAGTGCGACGAGCGCCGAGGAGGACAGCGAGCCGATGGTGGTGACGCAGAACGCGTCGACGGTCACCAGCAGTGACTTCACCACAGGGTTGGGGATGACCACCTGGTCGCATTCCATGGATCTGAATGAAGGTGAGCCGAATCAACTCCACCACATGTTCATCACCCTTTCGTGTCTGACTCGCCTTAGCCGACCGGCGGATGATGCCGTCAATGCTGGGACCGTACCCGCCCCCGCAGTACACCGGGATGGACTACTCCTTCCCCATGATGGACGACTGGTTACAGATGCAATGGCTGGGTCCGCAGGAGGCGGATCCGTTCTTTCCCGGATGACTTACATCGTTCAGGATTAAATGTTTACTACTGGGAATAACACCATTGTGAAGATTCTGATCACGGCTGCAAGATCAGCGACCCTGATAATAGTAAGTAATTAGCTATGTTGCCAAATTCATCTATCTCTGTTAAGGATGTGGATGGTGGATGAATCCCGGCTACGTAGTCTACCTGAGGAACTACCTTAGGTAGCTAAGACCCACCGAGGAGTACGGCAGACCATGTTTCGGTCTGACCGGCGAGGACCGCGAACAATATCCTGTCCAATAGAATGCAGATTAGAAGGGGACGCTCTTGAGAATTATAATCAACAGGAACAGGCTGCAGTGGTGAGACTACTGTGGGAAATGGTTCCTCCGTGGTACCGTACTACAACAGTCACTGCAGACTCGATGTCCATCTCTATTCAGCTTTTCTACATAGTATAACTCCAGTCAGGGAGGATATTTTGAACTTGTGTCGTGGAATCACAATATACCGCAGGTGCACGCCTCGTTCTGCTATCAGATCGTCGCAGGGAGGCTATCATAAAAGCTCAGGGGCAAAAACGGGACAGTAAGGGAGCTGCTCACAACAGTTCACTCTTTCTTGTAAGCCAACCCTAACCATAAGTTGGCCATGTGAAATGTTGTGAGAGCACTGAAGGGGGCCATCGGTCCACACATATCTCAACTCGGAGATCGTCGATAGTTCTGGGCCGTACATCCATGTCCCTCCTTGCCGGGGCTTCCCTGCAGAAGGTTACGGTGTATCAGGAATGCCGTTGGCGGACTCAGGGCTCGGGGGCGCATTAGTACTGTCGAAATCATGATCCTCAAAGAAAAAGCCTCCACCCTGGCATTCCGTTGCCACGCGCGTTCGGATCATATTGGAACACGGCATTTCGTCTCCATAGCTAATCCTCAATAGAGTCACTTTCATACTCCCCATTCTCATCGAAGATGTATAGGACAGCGACGTACATCCTCGCCGCCGTGGGTGCTCCAGGAAGAAGTCTTACATTGAGCAAGTCACGTAGTTCTGCAAATTTCCCGTCGTAGTTTGCTCAGAAAGGATTGTTGGGTGGATATTTCCCTGCGAGGGTGCATGATGTAGATGCGCGTGTCGTCCTCTGCCCCATTGAAGATGGTTGGGTCGAGGGCCGGGCCCACCACCCCGTCTCGTGGTTCATCACCAGAAATGAAATTGAGGACGCGTCTCTGGAAGGTTGCTCGTCGTGAAAAAACCAGGATTCTCCCCGTAGTGTGTCTAGAAAAGAAGGGTTAGCTGCGCTAATGATCCATAGGGATTGAATGACCCTGGGCCTGGACCTAATTGGTGCTGCTCGAGCAAGCTTCCCATACCGGTCTTGAGCTGGGTTGGACACTTGACATCGAAAGGGGAAGTCTTCTAATGTGTGATGTTGCATACCATGTAGACCCCTGTTCTAGACACCACTGTTACGACAGTACACCCCATAAGACCCGTGGTGGCGATTTGAAAGGCACCACCATCCTGAAATCTTCGCTGCTGGGCCATCGACTCAAAGGTCTCGATACCGCCTCGATATTTGATTATCGGCAGAGGCTTCCCGAAATACGGATCCCAAGCTTTCTTAAGTAGGTCTGCTTGTTTTGGAACGTAATCTCGGATATCGGCAAGGGTCAGGTCCGTAAAGGCACGCGGGTGGAGGCTTGTCCTTTTCACCAGCTGATGAGATGCGTTGCTATCACCTGGGACTTCGGTGAGGCGAAGCCCGTAGCTGCGTCTATTCAAGCTACCGGAGCAATCTTCTGAGGCTGGACCACATAAAGCATGGCATGAAGGAGCATCTGGATCATCCCAAGTGCTTGCACCGCATTCAGGATCACTAAAGAGGGTCAGACAAGGTACCGTGAGGGAGCTGAGTTAACCTCACGCGGATATACAAAGTGGCTCTTGTTGGCCTCCACCCCAACCGAGATGGCTCTCAACTCCCCTACCTGGGAGTAGATGAAGGATTTATCGGCGCCGATGAGTTTCCACCAAAGCGCTATGGAGATCAAAAGCCCCCATTTCAAGGTATGTGACATGGTTATGTTGGTCTCGCAGGATCTTCAACCTTGCTGCTCTTTTGAAGGAGAAATGCCTAAAGACAAGCTGAATAATCTATCCTCAGCAATGGAAGACACAGCAAGAAATGAATGTGGAAGAATAGCGAGCAGTATTATCTGGGCTCGCTTGACAACCTTTGTAACATTTCTGAGGATTAGAAAAAATATGGGAAAGGTGGCCTTGAATTACCCGTGATCCGATTCTGTAAATTGAGGTTACATCGCCTGATAGGTCCCATAAATGGGAAAGCCAAGGCATTACCAGGGTACCTCTGTGCTTGGACTGTTGTTTGAGATCTGGACTTCCACACCCATGGCTCTTCTAAATAGTCCAATCTAATCGACTCCTATCTTCTGTTGGTAGGTACAACTAGTTTTCTGGCGTCGGACCCTCTCCGGCGGATACCATGTAGAGCAGCCCCTGGCCGTCTGCCCCATGTGCTTTCTTTTGGTTCGTGGAAAAAGTACAGACCACCCAGGTCGTCATACAGCCCTCGGAGCCGTAACAATCCCAGGTCTGGCATAGCTGTAGACAGCAAACGAAAAAGATGACTGAAATCTCCGGGCATCATAAACAATCCGTCCAAGGTCAACTCTAGCAGCCTCGGGGACCGGCGGAAGAAGGTCATGATCGGGTTCTCGGACGTGTGGAGATCCTGAAGTTTACATCGCTTCAAGTTTGCAAATGCACAGGAAATACCTATCTGGTTGAAGAATCCCCGTTCTTCTCTGCACGCATCCGTTTCTTCTAAGTCGTCATGCTCCCACACGAGGTGTAGTTCTTCGAGGAAAGGGCACATGGTGAGGAGATCACAAAGCGACTGAATGTTCTGTCGGGCTTCGTTCGCGGTCAGCGGTAGACGCAAGTCCCGAGGGCTGCACTCGAAATTGAATCCCCGGGTTGAGTGGCCTAGACTCAGGCAGAACTTGGTGCAGTTTCGCAAGGATGTTGCCAAGGGGGTCCGGTGGCGTGATAAAGCAAGCGCGATATCGCTAAAAGCTAAGCTACATTGGCCGTTTTTGAAATGGTGATCGTGCACATAAGTGTCGCCGAAAATATCCAGTTCCTGGATCGGGATTTCCGTCCTCGCGATGGCGGAGATGGTCGCGTGGAACACCCGAGCCGTGACATCCCTGTCCCAAGTAGAGAAGTTGTCGACCTCCAGGGAGATTGAGAGCGACAGCTGATCGCCCCGGTGGGATGCGGGTCGGTCGCGTATGTTCGCAAATGCTTGGGCCAGTAGCTCGGATGCGTCGAAATCAACACAAGACTGCTCGGTGCGCTCGACACAGTCATACAGCGTGAGCCGTTGAAGCCAGAGGCCCACCTGTCCTGGCTGGGTGAAGCGAACCAGCTGTTCTAGCGCAGCCTCTGTCATTTTCACTCTCTTAGAAGAGCAAAATCTCCGAGAAATAGCGGCAGTAGATATGTGGTATAAGATAGTACGTCCAGTCAGACGGAGCGCGCAGACATCCCGGAGATCGAGCCAGCTCACAATAGTGTCGACTAACTCGGTCGGAAGGGTCTCCATATTGATAGAGTAAGATTGAGTGAATTCTGCCAGAGAGGGAGTAAAGGGGGAAGGAGAAAACAAGTAGACCCTGGAGTCCTATTTAATATGAGATCATCTTTAGCGGTTCTTGGCGGTTACATCGCGTTGTTTCCCCGAAGCCCTAGCCGGCAGGGTCTCGGACGCTCGGGCCTAGGTTATCAAGCTTTTGATCAACGTGCATTGGTCGGATTGTTGAGACTAGTACACACGATACTTACTTAGTAGTGGGTCGGAATCGCCTATACCATATCTTACAGGGCACCTAGTATGCATGTGAGACATTTTGACCAGTATCAAGCGACCCAACCTGATCCTTTTCCGAACAACACTATCCAAGCCTCATTCCACTTCCGCTCACTTCGTTCTGGGAGAACCCCTGAACCAAGTCACTCGCCTAGTTTGCCACAATGTCACGTTTAGCGGAGATGAAGAGATCGTTCTGGTAGCGCTGCTTCCGTCCTTGCGACGCTATTATCTGCCATCAAATATACTTCACAGCTTGGCGCGTGCTGACGTGCACATGGCCGATAAGGTCGATAGACATTCTAAATCGACAGTTCGCGTTCAATCGAATTGAACATAAATTCGATCGAGTACCAGCACCGTCTGAGGGGATATCCGAAAAATCAAAGGGACCGACAGAGATGCTCAGAAGGATTAACCGGACAAGACCGCAGCTGCGCCCTGTGCTGCCCGGGCATCGAGCACTTCATGTGCTTTTCGTGTATATCGCGATTCTTTTCTCCTTTATATCCACCAGTCATGCAATCTCATTCCCTTGGAGGCTGGCGCAGCGTGCCACTAGCTCCATCGATCCTACCGCAAGCATTGTCGCATCCACCTCTACGAGCACGATAGCATTCTCCTCCGCCCTCGCGGTCGAATCTCATGTATCAGCTCAGCTGTCCCAGCTTGCAAGTGTGCCCCCAATTCCTCTTCCCACCACCATCGACAACTACAAGACTTGGACACAGGTTGCGAGTCTGATGCCTCCCTTGCAAACCAACAATGTCAAGGCAGACACCATGGAGATGGTGGCCGCAGTGAGGGATGCCATCAAGACAGAGTCCGACTCCGGGGCCACGATCCAGAGTCTTGCCGGGCGTGACGCCGCGCTGAGGGTCATGATTGTCGGGGATTCAATGACCCAAGGCCAAGAAGGGGACTACACCTGGCGCTATCGAATTTGGGAGTGGTTCGCGTCCCAAGGCGAGGCGGTTGACTTTGTCGGGCCGTACACCGGGACTGTTCAGCCCGACTCCCCGAGCGCACCGGCTCTGCCCCCCCTCTACGGATCGAAGGCGGTGCCCGGACAGCCCAAGACGAGCGGTGGATATGCCGCGGGGGTTCCCTCCAGCTTTGATCGGGACCATTTCGCGGTCTGGGGCCGTGCGGCGGCGGTGGATAAGGGATTGATCTACGATGTGCTCAGCGCACACTCCGCTGAGCTCATGTTGCTGATGCTGGGATTCAACGACATGGGTTGGTTCTACAGTGACGCGGCTGGTACCCTGGACAGTATTCACACTCTGGTCACCAACGCCCGTGCCGTCAATCCGAACCTGAAGTTCGCCATCGCCAATGTACCGCAGCGAAGCTTCATCGGAGGTCGCGATGATCTTCCGATCAGCACCAATATCTACAACGCCCTGCTGCGGAACGCGATTCCGACTTGGAGCACCGCGGACTTACCCATTCACCTTGTTGAGCTACAGGAGAATTACGACTGCGAGCCAAGCGGATGTCCCGCAGGCTACGATGGCCTCCATCCCACTGCGACGGGCGAATTTCAGATAGCTCGCGCATTCAGTCTTACACTGGTAAACGACTTTAAGATTGGAAGCTCGCCGTTGTCTATTCCCGGTAGCATTCCAGGAAGATCACTTCCAGTGCCGACTAACTTCAAAGTGTTCAGCAGCGCTACAGGAGTCACCGCAACATGGGATCCGGGTAAGCGCCCCCTCCTCTCCTCTCTACTCCTGGCAGCTCTGCCGAACAATCACTAATGTAGACATTAGTGTATGGAGCATATAGCTAAGACGTCTCCTCTCGAATTCAAGGAGGAATTACTGACTTCTCTGCGGGAAGTGTCACGTCAGCCCGCTGGGACTCGACATGGCCCATCGACAGCTGGGTCTAAGAGGTCAAAGTGCGTGCCAGTGCTGTGGGCCCAGGCGGTCCGCTACTCACCTACGTCCATTCCGATCCCTACGGCACGAACGTCATTGCCTCTGTCCAGTGGGCTGACAATCAGTCCGGCTGTAATGTCGAGAAGGAATTCGCGTTGGGGAAAGATTCCGTACGTGCCAATCGCCTCCCCCTGCCAAACACACAGAGAAATACTGACGCAGGCGAAAATGATAGTGTATGGTAGCCTTCCAGAGAATAAGCACCAATTGCGGAGAAGGTAGCACGGAGAAGTATGGCGGCGGTATGGTCGTACGAACTTCCGAGGGCTGCATACAGTGGCTGCTCTATGGCCAGAAGGTCCATGGCGAATGCAGCTGTAATGAGAACGGATGCACGGATGACAGCCCGGCCTGTTGCGCTAACGGCACGTGTGGGAAGAGTCAGAAGGCCACACTAGCGAGAGTTCACTTGATTGCCTCCAGCGAAGTGGACCCTGCTTACAGTGATCAGTTGAGTTCGGATATGGCAGGCGCCAACAGCTCCAGTCTTGCAGTTACTCCCGTGGGGCCGTCCACTGTTGCGGCGGAATCCTGAACAGGCATCGGCGTGAATAGATGTATTATCTTGTAAGATAGCTTTTCCCTGTAATCATAGTTCAGGACTTGTCAAAGAGCTTCGAAAGGATTGAAGGATAGAAAGGGTTTTTGGGCATTTCTCGGAAGCGACGCCTTGCTGAAGACCACATTTGTTATCGATGATCCTCTTGTATGGCTTGTATTCCAGTTGCCTGTGTCTAATAAGAAGCCCTATCTTCCGCATCCTGTGTATAGTTGAAATTATACTCTCATAATCAATCGTTTCTGTACTACTCATGATTGGTGTATGTACTGTACTGCGCAGTCTCACAAATATTATTCTCATCGAACATAGTTGCGAAGGGCACAACAGCCCTATCATTAACCCCGTATGCACATCGTCTGACTTCAACCCCTGCTTCTATCTCAGATCTTTTCTAAAAGGCCAGGTGACCCTGAAATCATTTTCATGCGAGCAATAAAAGCATCCTAAGAGCAGTAATACCATGATGACCCCCACTACCCTAACGACTCTGCCCTGGAACCCCTACCAAAACGCCTCCGTATCAATGGCCACAATCTTCCCCGGCTCCACCATCGACCCATTGATCGGGAAATTGAATCCCCCACCAGTAAGAACATACAACGTCTTCGTATCCCCCTTCACCTTCCCAAACGCCCCCGTCGTCGACCCCGCGACGGTCATCTGATCCGACTGCCCGGCGACGGTGAGAATCTCCCCCTCAGGGGTGATCGCCAACACGCGACTATCAGCATTGGTCATCGCCCAGATCGTCTCGCGGTCGTATCTCCCGTCCGCATTCCCACCGCCGAACGTGAACTTGTCCAAAAAGATGGACCGCACCTCGGCCACCAGCTCACTCTCCGCCCCGGCCGCCGCGTACCCGTCGTCGGTGAGGCGGATGCGCGAGAGCGTCGCCGCGAAGGCATTGCTCCAGTACAGGTAGCCGTTGTGGATGTTGATGTCGTCGATGCCGACGGGTGCAGAGGCCCAGGGCGGGTAGTGCATGTCGGGGACCTGGATGGCGAGGTCGTAAGCGCCGGTGGTGAGGTCGACGCGCCAGACGAGGCCGTGGGAGGCGTCCGACACCAGCACGGTGGTGGGCGAGATCGTGTCCATCCCCGTCATGAAGCCGCCGCCGGCGATGCGGACGATCTCCCGGGCCTGTGGGGGTTGCTTGCTGTTGTTTTTGGTGGGACGGAGATCGAGCTCCCACACGCCAAAGGTCCCCGGGATGACGGTTGCGTAGGTCGAGGTGTTGCCGGCTACGATGGTGAAGATGTCCGGCTGGGTTTCGATGATGCTGGTTAGGGTGTTCACCTCGTCGAAGGCGCGGATTAGGGTTACTGTGGGCGGGTCGTCCGGGTCATTTGCGTTGGTCACCCCAGTGAGGTAGTAGAGCGAGGCGTCGGGGAAGGCGGTCACGGCCAGGAGGTCGCCGTTGGAGCGCACGTAGATGCTTTCCAGATATGTGGGGAAGGATGGAAATTGGTAGATTTGTCGCAGGGGGAGAGGGAGCTCCGGGGCGTGGCAGGTCTTGGGGAGCGCGGAGACCGGAGCCACGCCCAGGAGAGCTACCAATGTCTGTGGTAGGAGCCACATTTTGGGTGGTGTGTTTTTTTTTTTCTGAGAGGGAGGGCTTGAAGCGACCCTTGACTTAACTCATCTCACAAAAAAAACAGCATTGGACAGAGTCGAAAGATGAAAAGTCTGGAATCCGATATATGAAGTCAGCCCTAACTGGGAGGGTGGTGAGGCTCCGAACTGCCGGTTTTGGGGGATTTCCCCCGAAAATTGCGGGCGGAGCGCAGCAGGCTGATTTCTCCGAATCCCCCTTTGGGCTCCGATCGACCCCGGCACACCATCCATGCAGCTAAAGTCTAGTCACTCAGCTGCACAATGACCGGCGGCTGAAGATCAGAAAATAAAATAAGTTTTCCTCATCTCAATTCTCTTTACAGCCCTGTCACTCTGCATACTGAGCTTTGGGAAAGAGCGACTCAGATCTGGTGGCCTTGGTCAATTCTTCGGGATCAAAATGAAGGCAGTGCTGTACACCTTTCTCGCCTATGTCACCGGCTGGACCGGAATGCAAGGGTTCTGGGAAACCAGCGACCAAGCTGTGTTGTCCGTACCTGTCAATCCAGTCATCACCGGTGCCAGCAGCCAGACGTGCGATAACACACCCACCTCGCGGCACTGCTGGGGCGAGTACAGCATCGACACCAACTACTACACCACAGTCCCCACCACAGGACACACCGTCGAGGTGTGGCTCTCGGTGCAGGAAGGCATCTGCAATCAGGATGGCTACAACCGACCCTGCATGACCTTCAACGGGACGATGCCCGGCCCACTGATCACAGCCAACTGGGGCGACGAGCTGGTCATCCACGTCACCAACAACCTGAAGTCCAACGGCACATCAATTCACTGGCACGGAGTCCGACAGCACAATAATGTCCACAACGACGGCGTTCCGGGAGTCACCCAATGTCCGATCACCCCGGGGGAGACCTTCACCTATCGATTCCAAGCGACCCAGTACGGAACCACCTGGTACCACAGCCACTTCTCGCTGCAATACGCGGAGGGGCTCTTCGGACCCTTGGTGATCCAGGGGCCAGCGACGGCCAACTACGACGAGGACCTGGGGACGCTGTTCCTGCAGGACTGGTCGCACACTCCGTCTTACATCGACTGGACCGCCAAGGAGAAATACGGCATGACCAAATCCCAGAATAACCTGCTGATCAACGGAACCAACACCTTCGACTGCCTCTCGAGCGACAGTGCCGATGCTAACTGCGTGGGCGGTGGCCGTAAGTTCGAGGCGGTGTTCGAGCCCGGCAAGAAATACCGTCTGCGGTTGATCAACGTCGCCGTGGACAGTCAATTCCAGTTCAGCATCGACGGCCACACCCTGACGGTCATTTCGACGGACTTCGTGCCGATCGAGCCCTACTCCACGGACAATGTGTTGATCAACGTGGCGCAGCGGTACGATGTCATTGTCGAGGCCAATGCCCCGCCCGGTGACTACTGGCTCCGCGCCGGCTGGGTCAAGTCCTGTGCCGGTGTGGCCAACGACCATCCTGATGATTCTACTGGTATTGTTCGCTATAGCACGGGGAGTCGCAGAAGCCAGATTCAGTCGCTTCCCACGAGTGTCAGCCACGTCCAGCCACCCGCCGTCTGTCTGGATGAGCCTCTCGACCGACTGGTGCCGCACCTGCAGCTGGACGTGACCAACATCACCGGCACGACGGTCGAAGACATCAATGTCCGGCTGACGGGGGCCTCGTTCTTCCAGTGGACGATCAACAGCAGCTCCTTCATGCTGGACTGGAACCGCCCGACGCTCATGCAGATCTTCGACGGCGAGACTACCTTCCCGTCGCAGTCCAACGTGGTCAAAGTGGATGTATGTAGCCCCTCTTTGCTCGACCTACCCACCAATTCCATCCCCCTTTCCCAGATAATCATAGCCAACACTAACACGCAACAGAAGAAATCGCCCACCGAAAGCAACGAATGGGCCGTCCTCGTCATCGAGAACAAGGCCGTCGCCCTGCTGGGCGCCATCGCCCACCCGATCCACCTCCACGGCCACGACTTCTGGATCCTCGCCCAAGAGGGCGCCACCTGGGACGGGACGACCACCTCGTGGGAGACGGTCAACCCGCCGCGGCGCGACACGGCCATCCTGCCGGCCCGGGGCCACCTGGTCATCGCGTTCCAGCTGGACAACCCGGGCGCCTGGCTGGTCCACTGCCACATCGCGTGGCATGCAGGCCAGGGGCTGGCGTTGCAGTTCGTGGAGAACCAGCGGGATATCACGCTGCAGGCCGCGGAGAGGAGTGGGTTTGACGAGACGTGCGACAAGTGGGATTACTGGTGGGCGACGGCGCCATATCCGCAGGATGATTCGGGGATTTAGCCTTTCTTTGTCTTAGATACATAAGAATCTCGTTTTGCTTGTTCGTTATACTGAGCCACATCGTTTGTAATGTTCCAAAATCAAATCTGCATGGCTTGGGTTGGGAAGTTCTTTGACCTGCAACGGACCGTTTCTTTCTATATTCTTTCAGCAGTTCTAACTTTAGTGAAGAGAAGAGACAAGTATCATAAGACCATTCAGGTAAATGGCCAGTAGAAATCTATTCTCGTGCTAAAC